CTGTAAGGGGGAATGACCCAACGTATTAATGTACCGTACATATAGGCATGGTCTTCGGCAACCTGTCTGCATGTATCCTCATGTAATTTTGCAATCCTTGTTTCTATGTTAGGCATTGCATGGCGGGTGTCTGGGCGATCTTCTGCAGAACAGACCCCTAGCAGTAGGTCTCGTCAGGTATGCAGCTCCGGTAATCCTGAGCTCTTGATTTTCTGCATAGAAGTTGTATGATAGATTCGCATCGAATTCGGAATTTTCAGATGCCGGGCTCCTGGTTTTTTTATATGACTCTGTAGGAAGCAGTTTCATTTAACACGCATATTTTCCTGGAAAAACGGTTCTGGCCAAGTGCAGTCAACTTTTCCATTGGAAAAGCACAAAAAATCAATTTTTATCTTCGCAGCCATCTGTTCTCTTGAAACATTGTGTTTCAGTGTGTTGTTTCCAGGTCAAGCTGTCCTTGAGGAAAGCCACATAAACCTAAGACCAAAAAAACAAAAAAATTATCAGGAGAATATAAAGACTGTAAGAGAATATTGTTTTGTTTTAGATGAATTTTCCTAAGAAGAAAGTCGTTTCGCTTAGACAAAACCATCTTTTCCCCAGGGCAAACGTTGTTTAGTTCCAAAGCTCACCAAGAGCCAATTATTTCCTAGGAAGAGGTAGGATTTCGATGTGAAAAACGAATTTTCGCTAGGGTTTCCAGGACACAATTGGTTGTTCATACGTTTCTGTTGTGGAAACCCAGCTAAAAGCGTCGTTTTTCCTAGGGAAAGATGGTTGTGACCAAGCGAAACCAACCTTTCCCAAGGAGAACCATAAAAACACAAGCGTTTATCTCGCAAACCATCTGTTCTGTCTACATTCATATATGTATAGAGATACATGTGTGAATCTTAAACAGCCAAACATGTAGGTGTATATATGTATATATNNAACCCTAAACCCTTAACCGCGCAGATAGATACATAAGCTGCAAAGCCTGAGGCCGCAGCGGTGATCCCCTCTCCGCGGTACTGGAGGCAGCAACGTCCGCAGAAGCAGCAGCGCTGGTCAAGGAGCTGCTTGAGGGGGTGTTGGGGAATTGGGGAAAAAGGCATCCTAACTTTCCCAGACCCCTAAATGGATCCAACACCTATCTTACTAGAAAGTATTGATTGGTTCGATTCGTAATTCAGGATGAAGGTTGAGTGGTCAGAGGTGCGGACTTAGGGTTCCTGCATGTGCGTCATATTCAGGCCTGCTGCTCACAGCAAAGCCTGCTGGAAGCCAAAGCATGCTATAGCAGCCGATTATCGTATTAATGTTACTGCTATCATTACCATTTTTACGATTAGTAGATCATTCTTATTATTATTGCTATTATTGGTATTATTGTCTTGGATTTGCTTGCCACAGTATCAGGAACTGAACGGCTTGGAGGTCGATGGAGCGACTGTTGACGCCAAGCTGATTGATCAGGCCACTTGTTTTCTTTTGCTGGGTTGGTGGGTCTCGAATTCTGTGTGCCACGACGTTGTATATGCTGTTGCGGATTCTGGGGTTGAGAGTTTTTCTTTGAGTCCCTAAGGTCCTGCAAATAAAGCTGCCCGCAGGCACATGGCTTATAGACATGACTCAATCCTGCAGCCAGCTCGGAGGTAAATGTGCGTGAAGAAGTTGGAATTACTTCAAGCAGTTCTTGCCAGTCCCAAGCAATGGCAGTGTGTCTTCGTAATAATTGCAATAACAGTAACAATAATGACAATAGTAGTAATGGTAATGATTGTAGTTTTGGAGGTCTTCTTTGGGGTTTCCTGGCAGCCCTGCAGCATACTCTCCGGGCAGGATGAGCGTTCTCGGCTCCTCCGAGATCGCCAGGCTAGAATGGGGCTTTTCCCACTTCAGGGTACTCTTTTTGGGGGGTCCCCATTAAGGATCATAATTTTTGGGGGTCTATATGAGGGCCCTGAGATAGAAAATGATACAAGAGCTGCAGACAGAATGCCCGCCCCTGCATCTGTAGCCGTAGGCTTTAGAAGGAAGCCATGCTGGAGCTTTGTAAAGCTCTGGTAGGGTAAAGACTGGTGATTTTCCCAAAGCTGCCTTTGTTTTACTTGTTTTACGAGATTTTCACACTATGTGTTCACAAGCTTGGCGACTTGCGGTCGGTGGGCATGGTTTGTTGAATATGTTTGTCCATTGTGGCAAGTGCTGCTGATAGGTTAGTGCTATTGTTGTAGTACTAGTAGTAACAGCGCTGATGCTGTACGCGAGTGACTGGTTGGGTGCAGTGCCAGTATTGAACAGCAAGGGAACTGGTGCACAATATATAAACTTGCAGATGGTCGAAGTAGCCGTGGTAGTTATAGTGATGCGGCGGTGTTGATGGTTGCGGCGGTGGAAGTAGGTTGGTAGTATTCTTGTTATTATTACTATAAGTAGTAGTCGTCGTGTAGTTGGAGGCGCATTGGTAGTCGGCGTTTTTCAGTTTTCGGCACCGCCATAGTTGTCGTTGTCCTCCTGATGGTGGGATGGTGGTGGTGGTGGTGGTGG